CTTAAATCGCACAGAACACTTACAGAGTACCTTCTGCTGCCATTTGAAAAGCCTTTTACTTGAGAATGAAAAACTTCACAAATGAAGAATAGCTCATCAACCTCTAGACAGAATATTTGAGAGCCTCACTTTAAATGAATGTGTTCACGTTTTCTGGTACTTTGGGGGTTTTTTGTGTGTTGTTTTGTGGTTTTTTTTTTCCCTCCTGTTACTTTACATGCTATGTTCCTCTAGCATTATAGTGTTAGACAACACTGTTGTCTACCACCACCACTGTTGTTTTTCCATATCAGTAGCTGATGTTATGTCAGCCCTCTATATTTGTGATAAAATAGGGGTAGAGATTGAAACCAAGCTACTTACCTTGAAGAGTACTCCTTTTGTGTAAGTCTCACTGAAGTTCTCTTGGCACAGAGGTGCCAAATTCCTGCCAGTCGTGTCAGCCTGGGGCTGTGCATACCACCTTCAGCACAAGCCCCTGCACTCACATTTCAGGCTTGAAGGTTCTGATCATTTTCCCCAAAACACTCAGTTCCTTCAGTGGTACAGAATGGGAACAACATTGATTTGCAGTTAACAGGTTCTTAACTTGAATTAGTCCAACAGTTACTGACACCAGTTCCTCTAGTACTCTGTCTGCATGGCATCTCAAAGAACCAAGAACTGCCATTATCCTATGGTAAGTATCCTGTATTTATTCAGCTTTCTTATTTTTCCGACATGAGAAGAAGGGCTTGCACTCTTAGCAGACTGAAGTTGCCTTTTCAGCTCAGCTTTTTCAGATGCTGAAGCTTATGAGTTGGACATTTTGAGGAGACATCCTCTTCCCACTGTTCTCTGTAGTTGTCACACCTATAAATGGTTTGGCAGGATCGAGCTGCAAGCTGGAACACCAGCATCTGGGTTGCAAGAGACATTGACCAAGTTTCCTTCATTGGCAAGTAGATCATGTACGCTGTTTCCTAATATTCTTTGTATTTATGCACATGACTACTTAACATGTTTCCATTTGTATTTGCATGTCCTCAGAACAAAGGCCTGTGTTACCAACTTAACTAATGACATTACAGAAGTGTGTCCCACAGTGGAGAAGCATTACAGCCGTAGGCAGCCAAATGGCACCAGAGGAATGTTAGATGCTGGTAGAGTTGGGATTTCTGGCGACGTGCACTCTCTGCATCAAAGCTGTTCATAGTGCATATGAAAAAACTAATGTCAGTATACAAGTTCTTGTTGAACTCAAGAGATTTCAGCTGTCCTGAAACGCCCAAGCCTGAGGAGTACAGCTGGCTGCTGCTGTGTTAGTGTACATGCTCTCCAAGAATGTAAGAGTTCAGGGAGGGGTTTTTTTCCCACTTGTTCTCTAGCACTTCGGATGTGGTAAGGGAAGAGAGTTGTAAACTCTTTGAAGCTAGTGTACACGCTCTCCAAGAGTGTAAGAGTTCAGGGAGGGTTTTTTTTTCCCACTTGTTCTCTAGCACTTCGGATGTGGTAAGGGAAGAGAGTTGTAAACTCTTTGAAGCTGCAGGAAAAGAGCTAGAACTAACCACAAAGCCTAAGGGAGGTGCAAGGAGGAGCTTCCTAGAGAAAATAGGTTTATTAAGCCACCTAAATTAATGGGACTTTGGCAATTCTGAAAAGAAGTTCTGGAGTGATTCTGCACAGATGAGACTTGGAAATGCCTCAAGATCCTTTCTTGTTTTCCTTTTAGTTGGTCACACTGATAAAAGAAAGATTTTTTTGACAGTCTCCCAGGAGCGAGGGCCTTTAAATAGCATTTTATACAATGGAGAAGTAAATAATACAAATAAGGCCTTTTGTGTGGGTTGGAGTCTCCATTTGAAAATATCTGCAACTCTTGCAGTTGAGCTCTCGGTGCATAGGTTTGGATAACCCAAGAGAAGCTGTGCTTTTAGCAGAAATTTTCAAATGAATTGGAAAGACAGAAAACCTGTGTACTGGTTTTGGCTGGAGTACAGTTAATTTTCTTCATAGTAGCTGGTATGGTGCTATGTGTTGGGTTTGTGCTCAAAACAGTGTTGATAACGCAGGGATTTATTGCTGAGCAGTGCTGACACAGAGTCAAGGCCTTTTCTGCTTCTGACTCCACGCTACCAGCGAGCAGGCTGGGGGTGCACAAGAAGTTGGGAGGGGACACAGCCGGGACAGCTGACCCCAACTGACCAAAGGGATATTCCATACCATATGACATCATGCTCAGCAATAAAACTGGGGGAGGAAGAAGAAGGACGTTCGGAGTGACGGCGTTTGTCTGCCCAAGTAACCATTATGCGTGATGGAGCCCTGCTTTCCTGGAGATGGCTGAACACCTGCCAATGGGAAATGGTGAATGAATTCCTTGTTTTGCTTTTCTTGCGCACGGCTTTTGCTTTACCTATTAAACTGTCTTTACCTCAACCCACAAGTTTTCTCACTTTTGCCCTTCCAAGTCTCTCCCCATCCCACTGGTGGGGAGTGAGCAAGTGGCTCTGTGGGGCTGAGCTGCCTACTAGGGTTAAACCGCAACCTGTTCCTGTTTCATTTTGCTGGTGGCTGAACTTACCTCACAAGTTCTCATCATTTTAAGCTAACAAAGAAAACTTCCTCGTTAAAGGACTGCTAAATGCTGTTCATCCCAACCGAGTCATTAGGAACTGACAGATAGGGAAGACATAGCCAAACTGAGGAGAAATGCAGCATTGAGCTGTGTCCCCTTCATTGCATTGTGTAATCAGAACCATTAGTAGTACAATAGGCAGATGTGCTGTGAAGAGATCTGTATACGTGTGTTTTCCTTACATGTTGCTTTCATAGCTTGCTTCAAGAAGCTCGCAGATCAGAAGTCATTGGCTTGCAGGAACATGTCCAGAAATTGCTGAAGATTAAGCAAGCAGCTGCTGAAGAAAAGCTGGGTATTGGCAAAACTTTGTGCAGAATTCTGTGTAATTGTGTTTATAGTTAAGATTTTAGGTTGTCAAATTACCTGAGAATCTGTCTCTACAATCCTAACTCTGAACCAAGAACAAGATAGCACCAAGGGCAGGGACACAATGATGAGGATACCCCGAGTCAGTGCAAGCCAGAACTGCCTGCCTCCTTCGCATGAATGCGCTAACTGGTCTGTGGAGCTGCTAGGGTTCCTTTGAATTGGCTACGTCAGTTGCTTTCTATGAGGAGACTAATTGTGGAGATTGATAATTGACAGATTTGATTCCTAACTGATGAAGAATTCCTAATCAGATTCATAACTCATTATATGAGGAGTTTCCTAATCAGACCTTGTTCACAGCACGCATTAAATCTTGCTGGAAAATTCCCCCTATATTTTATACCATGAACTCCTGAGAAAACTAGTTCCTTGAACGTAGCCAACTGTTTGTATTTGCTGTATCTTTTTCCTTTTGATTCTTAAGGAAAAAGTTGTCTACGTGAGCACAGTGTCAGTCAGATGCCTCTGACTTCAGAATCTCTTGGCTCACTTAAATTTGGTCAACAACGCAAACCAAAGAAGAGCCAGCCTCCCCCTCTAAGGGAAAGGAACTGTGAGAGTTTGGTACTTCTGCTCTGCCTGATCCGTGGCTGGATCCACAGTGTGACAGGCAGGGTAGTTAGTGTAGCAGGGGAAGAAGGGAGCTCAGGGTGTATGCACAGAACTGGACATTGCTGAAGAAGAGAGGTGACTTGGCAAAGGCAAAGCGCTGAGCAGTATGTATGGAGAGAGAGGATCTAGGAAGAAAATCCACAGTAAAACAGGCTGCATTAATTATTTTGCCTTGGAGTAGTACGCTTGTTTGCTTAGTTTCTATTCAATATTTAAGAAAAATAAAAATGTGTTTCTTTCACTTGGATTGCACATTTCTGGCCATGTCCAAGTAATAGACAAACTTCTCTATATGAGCTGTCCTTGCTTCGGCACAACTCTCAATGGTTTCATGATGAATCCCTAAACGTGCATCAAAAACTATCTTGAAAATTACTCCTAGAATTTGGAAGCACAGATTTGCCTGTTTCTGTAACTGCTTGCTGCATCTGCCAGTTGTTAAAGTTCTAATCATTCTCACAGTCTATAATCTCTCTGCCCTTACCTTCGCAGACGAACTGGTACCAAAGAGAGAAGTATTCAGCACAAGTGTCCAGGGAAGGACTTAGGCTCTTAAAATAATTCCAGTGAAGATCTATCTGTTCAGTTAAATAACCACCTACATTGATACCAGTACTAATGCTGAAAGCTGTAACAAGGGTGTAACAGAATGAACATCTCATTCAAAACAAAACAGACTAACAAAGCTTTAGCTTCTACTCAGAACTTGTAAAACACTCTGTTCTGTGTGCATACTAATCACAGGAGGCAATGTGTTTAAGGAGCTGGGTACTTATCTAGTGACTTCTTTTGCTGTGCCTAGAACTGAGACTCAAAGATCAGCAAAGTAAGTGAACACAGGATAACGGGACACCTTCAAACATGAAGCTGTACCTGAGCAATTGATTTTCACTGTTAAGACTACTCTATGTAGAGGATATTCTGAAATGCAGGTCACAGCCGCATCCTGCTGAGGATGCTGGAAGTCAAGTGCTTGACTCTTCCAAGACACTAAAAATGAGTGATTTTAAACGGTGGCGAGAAGTAACAAAACACACTGATGTGAGCTGATTATATCCTATAAAATTTGCAGTGAGTGCCCCCTCCCTTTATTTTGCAAAAGTTAGGCATAAAATACACAAGGCTTCATAACAGTATAAAATTTGCATTGGAAAGATACCTTACTAAAGCAACAGCAATGCGGTACAGCTGATAGAGGACACCAAGCGTATTTTAGCTAGCTAAATATGGAGACCAGCTCAGAGATGCTCTCAAATAGAAAGTGTCATACATATTAGCACTAATTTCTTATGGCTTTTGCTCCTGAGCTGTATTTTCAATAAAAACACTTGCTCTTGTGGTCAGAGCAGACATGGAAAGTCTGTTATGTTTTACCATATTCTTAGCTGATACCAGCTGGTTCCAGGTTGCTGCAGCTCCCTCTGCCATGCAGTTCGCTCCCATTTAGTTGACAGGAAAGATGAGCCTTTTCCTCAGTGTGAAACTGGGCTGTGGCATCTGCTTCTCTGCATTCGACTTGCAACTCTTTCTGCTCACCTCTTGATTCACTGCTGTCAGGATGGTGAGAATATCTTCTCCTCTGCAAAAACACAAGTACGTTTTGTATTAGGGAAGCAGTTAACATCAGAAAAATTACCCCATTCTCACATATCTTGATCTATACCGGTGCTAATGGCTCCTGTTTTAAACCGGCTTCAAAGCAATTAGCTAAACTGCTTTGAACAATCTCATGGTGTTGTTCTGTCCTACATTACTGTTTTCACTCTGAGCGAGTGCTCCCACTGCATACCATATACCTCTGCATCCAAATCAAACTTCTGTCATTCAGAAGGAAAATACAGGTGTTACCAAAAAGCAGCTTATGGAAACATAGTTACCGAGGACAGCTGTACTCCAAGTGCTGGCACAACGCCTGTATATACCAGGTCCCCTGCCTTGTGCTTCTGTAGGAAACGTAATCTTGCAGGGTAGCCATGCCCAAGAGGAAGTCTGCCTCTGCGGGGATGCAGTCGAGCTGAAATCTTGCATCTGTTTCTACAGAAGAATCTTGCTCTCCAGAATCTGTTTCGATAGTCACACCTTTCTGGCAAGCATCACCTTGGCAGGCCTGAACAAAAAAGACTTTTGGTTTTCCAGCAAGTGAGTGGCAATTCTGTCCAGTGAAAGAAGTGGTCAGTTCCTGGATAGGTACTTCCTGCCCATCAACACCATATATAACGCCTTTTTTCCCATGAGACAGGATACAGCAAACAAAACAGTCTTTGTCCTTGTGGTCTTCGCACCGGTAGATGTTCACAGTCTCACGGATTTCCTCTGCGGTGAGGTCTCTATGTTCTGCTATTGCAAAATGAAGCTTGCTAAAGACTCTTCTCAGAGCCGCTGGAAAGTAAACAGAAGGGGAATTGGAGCCGTTTCATTATATGAAAGTCGGACTCTGCAATTGCAAATTGCATTTCTAGAGATAAACAATCTTTTTTTTAAATCCTGCTACATTACTATCTAGGTAGTTACGTTCCTGCTCTGAAAATAATCTAGTAGTCTAATCACTAACCGTATCTCTACTGAGTTCCCTTAACTCTCATTATAAGGCTTCCTTGCAATCTTGCTGTTTAGTACTGCCTCTGTCTGGAAAGCATGCAGAACTATTAAGAAAGCTGTATCTCTTTCCCCCACCCACTTTACAGCTAGTCCCTTCATCTCTTAAAAGGTGTTGAACAATTGCTTTACCCAAGACGAGAGGATGAGGGAAAGGCTGTGGATGTGG